CTGCAAGATTCTGTCGCACTGCCGGACTCGTTGCAGATCGCCTTCTCCAGTGCGTTCCATTTCGGCACCTCCGAGGCAGGGCTCTCAACTGCAGCATGCTCCTCGACGCCAGTGAGCTCCTCGCTGTACATGCCGCTCTCAGCCTCGTCCGACTGCTGCGCGCCGCGCACCTTTGCCCGGACCCGCCCGTCCTCGTACCTTACTAGCAAGCCATATTACCGAAGGGGTGCCCTTGTTGGCGGGGAACAAAGGGTACCGCTGGGCTACCATGATACCCTAAACCCTGGACCCTAAACCCTAAACCCTAAACCCTAAACAACCCTAAACCCTAAACCCGAACCCCTGCAGGGGCTACCAGCTTGGGGTTGATCGCAGGCCTGGCTGTCGACCCAGTCCTGGTGTGCTCGGTCCTCCTGGTTTTAGGGAGGAGTTGGGGGTTAAGGTTTGTGGTTTAGGGTTTGGGGTTTAGGGTTTGGGGTTTAGAGTTGGGGGCTTAGGGTCTGGGGTTTAGGGTCTGGGGGTTGGGGTCTGGGATTTGGGGTCTAGGGCCTGGGGATAAACAAATCCTTTGATGCCCCTCAATGAAGGGACGAGTTGCCCTGAGGCCCTCATCTCCAGGGTCTTGGGTGTAGGGTTTAGGGTTGCAGACTCGGTGGATTCAAAAGGGACTTTGGGGGGCAACAAAGCTACGACAAGAAGACAAAGACGAGAAATACACCGAGAGCCCTGGCTTGAGGCTCATTTGCTCAATGTGCCCGAAACCATGAAGCCTACAACCCTAGCAACCGTGACAAAAGCTCATAGACCCCAAACAAACAGAGCAACAGCGCCGGACAAAACGGAACTCATCAACAACATTCGAATACCACGGTCTGGTCTAGCGGTTTCGCGTTGAGGGTGTAGACTTGGCTAGTGTGCCCAAACAACTTGCAGCAAACACCTCGCAACAAACTCTGGCACTGGCAAACCAATGCCGACAGTCAAAGACCCTAATGTAGAGAACTACCCATGTAAAGCCCTGAGTTCACAATGACACCTTAAAACCCTAAACCCGAAACCCTAAACCCTAAACCCTAAACTCTAAACTCTAAACCCTAAACCCTAAACCCTAAACCCCAAACTGCTCTCTCCCCTCCCACCTCAAGCACGGAGCCCATCTGCTCTAGGGCCTGCCAAGGGCTTGTAGGTTTTAGGGCTTGGGGTTTAGGGCTTCTAGGGTTTAGGGTTTAGGGTTTAGGGTTTTTCATGGCCACTCTGTTTTCTATCTAGAGAGCGGTAGGGGAGGCAAAACACAGATCTTCCCCCAAAACTTGCTGGCTCTTTGTGGGGAACTTGGGAAGGAGTGACCCTACAGTCCTTTCAAGAGCTTCAGGAAATCCGCTACAAAGAACCAATAACAGAAACATGTCCACAGTATATATCACTTATAATTATAAGCGGTCGTTCGCAGCGGTACTTCACCCGGTGATGGCGATGGTCTCGATAGCAATGGCCCTGTCGTCGTAGAGTTGTTCAGCGTCAAGCGCTGCGGGGATCATCGCCGCCGCCCGCCAAGTGCCATCGCCGAGGAAGACCCTAAACGCTCAAAAGGCTCACTTGGAGGTTCATGGGTACTTATAACCCCCATTATAAGTCTGCTCATAACCTACTTAGAGGACTAAGGGGGCTTATAAGTACAGCTATAATTGGGGTTATAAGTACCCTGAACCTCCAAACAGGCTGTCCAGGCTCCCGATGCCACAAGACATTGAGCTTCACTACGGAAAACCCTGTCTTACTGGCTACAAGGATGATGACAATCCAACTCGCCAACTGAGATGGCAACCCTAAACCCCAAAGCCTGAATCCTAAACCCTAAATCCTGAATCCTAAACCCTAAACCCTGAATCCTGAACCCTAAGCCCTAGACCATGTACCCAGACTCTGCGCAGCCTGTCCATCCCCCAGGGCCAAGAGGGTCTTGAGGCACTTCTTCATCTCTTCTGCTGACGCCGCCTTGCAGGCCGTGGGGTTCAGGCATAATCCCTAAACCGTAAACCCTAAACCCTAAACCCTCAGCCTTCAAACCTAAACCCTAAACCCCAAACCCTAAGTCCTAAACCCTAAACCCTAAAATTTGAAGCATCTGGAGAGGGTTCTCTTGAGTTGACCTGAGACCTTCAGGAGCTCCTCCTTTCTTCCTTTTGCCAGAAGTCCCGGCCTTGTAGGGTTTAGGGTTTAAGGTTTAGGGTTTAGGGTTTCGGGTTTAGGGTATACACTTTCCGAAGGACGTCCAGGAGTCTTAGCAGAAGCTGCCATGGTACTTTCGGTTTAAAAATTGTTTACCCGACCCTCCAGAATTTGACGCCTACGACTACGATCTGACCGCTATGGGGTTCTTTGTTGAGATGTTTAAAGGGAAGTAGCATATCTCAGGCGAAAGCAAATCCTACAGGGTTTGCCTCAAAACCTACACCCCTCCGGTTTCGGGAACCGTCGGTGGTGCGAAGTCTACTGGCCTTCTGAGGTGTTTTCTTTCGCGCCTCAATCATGGAAACCCTCGTACCGGCCGAGCTTTCTGAAAATCCACACTCGACCCCATACCCCAAATCCTAAACCCTCCATCAGCCCTCAACCCTCCACTCTAAACCCTGTAGACCTGGGTCTCGGAATTAGGGTTTAGGGTTTAGGGTTTAGGGCTTAGGGTTTCGGGACCTGTGCCCCTGCCTGGAGCCAGTCTGAAAATGTTGCGGGCTTGCCGGACGACTGATCCTCCACAACCTCCTCCATAGGATTAGGGTTCAGGGTTCAGGGTTCAGGGTTTAGGGTTTAGGGTTTGGGGTTTGGGGTTTAGGTTTGGGGTACAGGGTTTATGGTTGAGGATTGGGAGTGTTAACCCACTTACTAGCCCCCCAATTGCCCTAATATGGTTCGTAGTATACCCGAAGCCCCGAAGAACTAGCCCAAGAAGGAACTACATTGGAGCCTTCAGGTAGGGCCTTCGGGCCGAGGGTTGACCTTATTTTGAGGCCTTTGATGTTCCGCTTAGGGGGTAAGCATGGGGCGAAGGGTTTCGGATGAAATGCAGCTATACACCCTAAACCCTAAACCCTAAACCCCTAGAACCCTAAAGCCTGCGAAGCCCTGCAAGGGGTTCTCAGGAAAAATGTGTCCTGGACCACATCGGCTTTGCTGAGGTCAGCGTCCTGCCAGGGTTCCGGCTTTCTCTTGAGGAGAATTTGTCACAGGGCGCCCCAAACCTCCCAAGAATCTAACAGTTAACCTAGGTTGGTCCCTTGAACCCTCTGAGAAACCCTACACCCTACACCCTAAACCCTAAACCCTAAACCCCGATGAAGGAAAATATGACATGACTCAAGGGCCGACCTAGGAACGTGGTAGGGAAAACTTGGCGGAGATGTTTAGGGTTTAGGGTTTGGGGTTTAGGGTTTAGGGTTATAGGCATCTTCGGGTCGAGCACAACATGTGGCCCTACCGGTCTAAAGACAAGCCTCTTACTATAACCGGGCTCTTCATTAAACCCTAAACCCTAAACCCTAAACCCTAAACCCTAAAGGGCTCAACAATGTCGTCCCCCTTTATTACGATCACTTAGTTTACCTCGACAAGATCCCAGATGGGGACCAACAAACCAGGGAACGTCTACTTACCCAGGTTGAGGGTGGTTGGTTTCGGGGCTTTAAATCCTAGCAGCTGCGTGGAGCTGATTGATCACGAAACGCTGAACACCCCTCAACCCTAAACCTGACACCCTAAACCCCACAGAAGATTGGAGTGTCTGAGCACCATCAGACCCTATGTCCGACTATCACGATCCAGGATCACAGCCGCCTGTCTCAGTTTACCACAGTGACAGCTAGTTTAGGGTTTAGGGTTTAGGGTTTAGGGTTTAGGGTTGAGAAGCTCTGTTGGCAAGCGACAAGCCGGCTTTGCATGGCCGAGCCATGGTCGAGCCATGTTCCCCTATCCCTGAATTTGCAGCTTCGGCAGAAAGGAAAGGATCGAAAGAGCATTAATACAGCAATCCGTGTCCTGTACCCCAACTTCAACTTCTAAACAGACCTCACACACGTAAGAACCCCGTCCAGCATGTCAGACAAGCGCTGCTTCGTGGAGGGCGCCATGGCTAGCGGCTAGAGCTGTCGCTCGCAAACCCAAACCCAAAAGCCCACCAAAAGCTGGGGCTCTGGTGGATGGCCCCGTGCTCATTTTCGACTGCTTGGCTTCGTCAATCCGAAGCCAAAAGCGGGTCACAAATCCTTGAGGAACAACATGGAACAAGCGATTCTACAACCGAACGCCTAAACACGTCTGCCAAATAGGCTGAACCCAAGGCTTGCAAGCCCTGAGCCCAAACCCCTCTCATAAGGCTGGTGCGTCAACTTATGTTGCGTCTCGTGGCCCGCGCCCGCGCTGAGCCAAGCTCAGAGAAAAGTTGGCAAGGAGTTCGCCGAGCGGGCTAAGTGGTGTTAACTACCCCCTTAAATCCTCTGAACAAATTGTTATATATCATCTTATTAGAACCAATAAGGGAAATATAAAGCTTACCTAGTTAAAGGTTTAGAGTGTTTGTATGATATGCTTGGGGGTTGAGGGATTTCGGGTCTTGAGAGACTTGGGAATCAGGGCTAAGTGTCAAAGGTTACGGGTCTTAGCTGCATGGTTCATAGTTTCCGAAATAGAACCCACATAGTAGGATCCCCTGATCAGAAGGACCCCAACAAGGTATCCCTCATTTCGGAAACCTCCCAAGATGGTTCTAGGGTTTACATGCTTCCGTAACCCTAAACTCTAAACCCTAAACCCTAAACCCTAAACCCTAAACCCTAAACCCTAAACCCTAAACCCTAAACCCTAAACCCTGAGGGCGGGCAGGGCTTAGGGTTCAGTCTGCCCAGGAATCTCAACATGAATCGCACCGCCTAAGGATAGCCCCCCCCCCCCCTTTGTGGTGCCCTCTTACCCAGCGGGATCAGGGTTCCCCGGGGGAACCCTAAACCCTAAACCCTAAACCCTAAACCGTAAACCCTAAACCCTAAACCGGGGGGGGGGACTCTTTTGACTTCCGGGGCATCTTCCAAGCTACGCCATGTGTTGGCAAAGACTGCTGCGGTGATGCCGATGTTCACGATTCGCCCCAGAAAGCCACCGGCCAGGTTCGTCGAGGCATGTAAGGTTGCAGAGGGCCAAAGGACATTCCACAGCAACGCGGCGGTGAGACGCTGCTCCTGAGCAAAGCTGCCGGTATACCTGGCAAAACGGCCGGCCGCAATGCCAGTCAGCCATGGGTGTGGGTTCAGGACGAGCCGGAAGAGGAGGAACTGATGGAACACAGACAGTAAAGAGTCGGCGGCGGCATAATCGCCATGTTGTCTGGCGAGAGCAATTCCATCCAACATCGCCGTAGGCGCTCGCCTAAAGTACTCTGCGTTCTCTTCCACCATGAAGCCCACTCCTTAGTGTCTGGGCCTTCTCTGGGTCAAAAGCCCCCCTGGTTCTTAGTAGGGAAGGTACCCTAACCCTAAACCCGAAACCCTAAACCAGGGGGGGGATAGGGTACCTCATTCCCTCATTCCCTACTAAGAATCAGCCAGACAAGGTTCGATCTTGCTTGGCTGCTAATACTGGGAGGTTCATACTGACTAACCAATGATGACGGTACTTAAGCCCTTAAGTGCCTAATATGGTTTATAAGTACAGCAAGTACAGTTATAAGTTATAATTGGTTAAGAATACCCCTAAACCCTAAACCCTAAACCCTAAACCCCAAACCCTTTGGTTTACAAGTGCCATGAACCTCCAAGTACCCCAAGCAATTAGCTCCCCAGGTGAGCCACTCAGCACCTACCTCAACCCTGAACCCCGGCGCCTCCGTAAGCCCGAAACCCTACACCCTGAACCTTAGGGTTTCGGGTTTAGGGTTTAGGGTTTAGGGTTGAGTAAACCCTAAACCCTAAACGCTGCTACTCAGCACCTCAGAATCCCAGGCTGAAGCCGGCGAGCATGACGGCTTTCGGACTTTGTGGCCAGAACCTGGCGGTTGATCTGAATGGATTTCGGGCTCTTTAGAGTTTAGGGTTGAGGGGTTTAGGGGTTTAGGGGTTTAGGGGTTTAGGGTTTAGGGATTTAGGGGTTTAGGGTTTAGGGTTTAGGGATTTAGGGTTTAGGGATTTAGGGTTTAGGGATTTAGGGGTTTCGGGGTTTTGGGGTTTAGACGTCAAGGGGTTTCCGGCTTAGGGGCTCAGGGGTTTACGATCTAGGGACCTAGCGTGTCGGGGTGTCGGGTTGAGGGCCCTAGCTCGCTCTAAACCCTAAACCCTAAACCCTAAACCTTAAACCTTAAACCCTAAATCCTAATCTAAACGACGAGGAACAATGGGCGTTCAGGGTGGGAGGACCAAGGTTTGCGGGACCGTGCTAGAGAAACCTCTCCAAAGTACCGTGAGCCCAAGCCTCGATGGGTTTAGGGTCCAGGGTTTAGGGTTTAGTGTTTAGGGTGTATGTAGGGTTTAGGTTTTGGGGTCTAGGGTTTATACAGGGTGTAGGAATTCGGTTCAAGGTGTTCAGATCACAACAGCTCTCCACCTGGGTAGCCCAGTAACCAAATAAACCCTAAACCCTAAACCCTAAACACTAAACCCTAAACCCTAAACCCTAAACCCTACAGAGGCCACCTTGAGGTTGTAGATCTGCGGCGCCAGGGTCTCAGACCCGACCAGGAAAGCCATATGAGTGCCAGGAACTTCCCAAGCTCCTCCACCTTAAGCTGGTTTAGGGTTTAGGGTTTAGGGTTTAGGGTTTGGGGTTTGGATTTAGGGTTTAGGGTTTAGGGTTTAGGGTTTGCGGTTGAGGGTTTAGGGCTTAGGGTTTAGGGGTTTGGGGGTTTTGTTAGGGTTTTTAAGGCATTAGGAATTTTCATTAGAGGCTTAATTGGTCCTTTAAGGTTTTAGGGATTTATAGGGGCTGAGGATAATTAGGGATTTGGGTGTTTATTCATTAGCGCTTTCGTTGTTGTTGATCTTCTAGGGCTTTAGGGCTTTAGGAATTTCCGAGATATTTTGGGGCTTTGAGGTTTTAGTTGTTAGAGTTTATGAGCCTTTAGGATTTTTTCAGATATTTTGGGGCTTTGAGGTCTTAGTTGTTAGAGTTTATGATGAGCATTCTTTCGGATGACCCTTCAAGGACAGGTTAGGTGCTTGTTTCCGTAAAAGCGCGGATGACCCCTCAAGTACACCTGACCCACCTAGGGACATACATAGAATTGGGACACCGAAAACGCTTCGCCCTGCCCTGGGGTTACATCGTTTCGCCTCCATTTCGTCTCCGAGGCACTGCACCAAGTGCACTGGACGTCCACATGAAGGTGGCCACCTGGGGCCGCCACAGGATGGCCATGAAAGCAAGCAGAGCCAGATCCATCAGAACTGACCTCAAGGGGACGCGATGAGCCCTAGAGTTGGGGTCATCTAGCCCCTACTACGATCGTCCCTATGAAGGTATATGGACCATAAACCCTTTTAGGGTTCCTTTCGTGCCCAAGGGACAGCACCACGCCGAGGGTGGCGCCTCGCAGCGCGAAGTGCGCCATGCTGCCGCGCTCCGCGTGCACAGAGCCGCGCCGTAGCAGAGATCTTAGCTTCAGGAGCCCAACCACTGCCGACAGGACCGCCCCGCTGCTGCCTCCGCGCCAGCAGAGCTCCAGGAAGCCCACAACGGCACACCAGGTGAACAAGTTCCAAGACCAGCCGCGGCCTCGAGTTGCAGCGGCGGCTTGGGCGCTTGCAAGAGCACGGAGCTCGGTGACACGTTGCAGTGATGCTCTCCGATGAAGCTGCGGCGGCCGACTAGCCGCAAAGAAGGTGGCGGCAGGATTCTGCGAGCAAGAGTTAGAACGAAAAGAACGACTGGTGGTGCACAAGTTTAAGTTTAAGTCTCCTCTGTCACCTGCTCCCCTTTGCCATGGAAAGCCGTAGGCACTCCTGCCGCGCGCAAGCACCAAGCCTGTGGCGACCAGACTCCGCATGGCAGCGGAGGAAGGCCGATATGAGCTACGTGCAAGGCGAGACAAGATGGGGTTTAGGGTTTAGGGTTCAGGGTTTTGGGGTTTAGGATTTAGGTTACTGGTGAGTGTATATATATATATATATGATTTCTGTTTAATGTTGGTGGGTGTATATATGGGGGTGTCCTTAATGGGGATACAAGGAATATAAACCCTACTTTATGTGTGCCGGCTTCCTAACCGCCGCCGGAAGAACCTCAGCCGATCAGCTTACGCCACGAGAATTCGGGCAGTTTACGGGCACGGAATGGGCTTCGCCCTAAACCTGATACACCCTGCCAAGCCGATCAGCCCTTCAAGGACCGTGGTATAGACCCTTATACATCTGCTCGAATTCCGGGCCCCTAGAAAGTCCGCAATGTACGGTTGAGGGTCGAGGGCTCGTCGGGAGGTTTGCGATTTGAGGGTTTGGGGAGTTTTGGGACTTGCGAGCTTTCGGGTGTAGGTTTTCGGGTTTCGGGGCTAGGACTGAGGGACTTTTTTGGGAGGGTCTTGGGCTTGAGGCCTGTTACGGTTTCGGATTTAGGGCTTCGGGGGTTTGGTGTTTAGGGGTTGGGGCTTAGAGGTTTAGGGGCTTGCAATAGTCAACGAAGGGCAGAACATGAGTCTGAGTGGCACTAGGGAATCTGGGGATTATGGTCAGGCGTAACGGCTATAGAAATTTCGGGCTGTGGGGGTGCTTAGCCCTTTCGGCTGGAGGGCCTCACAAATTTGAATGGATCTGGGCTTCCGGGGCTTCAGGGTATCCCCCCCCCCCCCTCCCTCCTCCCCCCTCCCCTGCTCCCCCGCCCGAACATGTCATGGCGTCCCTGCAACCCCCCTAAACCCTAAACCCTAAACCCTAAACCCTAGACCCTAAACCCTGAACCCTAAACCGACTCCTGTGCGCTGTTGGCTCTCTGTGTGATGCCAGTGCCGCCTCGTGCGGGCACTTGCCTGGCCCTCAAGGGGGGTTTGGGATTTAGGGTTTAGGGTATGGGGTTTAGGGTTCAGGGTTTAGGGTTTGGGAGAGGCGGCGGGTTTGGGTTTAGGGCTCTGGGGTTCAGAGTTGCAATCCTGCAGCTGTAGTATCTTAACCAGAAGAGTTTGTCGAGTAAAACCCCGACCCCGTAAAGTCGTAGACTCCCTAACCCTAAACACCCTAACCCTAAAACCCTAAACCCTAAACCCTAAACCCTAAACCCTAAGCCCGCCCTAAGCCCTAAGCCCTAAGCCCTAAGCCCTAAGCCCTAAGCCCTAAGCCCTAAGCCCTAAGCCCTAAGCCCTAAGCCCTAAGCCCTAAGCCCTAAGCCCTAAACCCTAAACCCTAAACCCTAACCCTAAACCCTACCCCCCCCCCAACCCACAACTCCCCTTAAGCGCCAGTAAGGCATGTGGCCCCCTCGAGCCAAAGCCTCGCAGAAGGCTCCGGGTCGCAGCAGGATTTCGGGAGTTTAGGGTTTAGGGCTTAGGGTTTGGGGTTTGGGGTTTCGGGTTTGGGGTTTAGGGTTTGGGGTTTAGGGGGCAGGGTTTGGGGTTTGGGGCTTGGGGTTTAGCGCTTGGGGTTGAGGGGTTTCGGGCTTCGGGTTTAGGATCTTTAGGGTGAGCAGGGCTTTTGGGCGTTGAGGGTGAGTGGGTTTTAGGGGGATTGGGGCCTTTAAATGGCCCCAACGTCGGCCCCCTAAAATCCGTGTGCCCAAGTTAGGTTTAGGGCTTAGGGCTTAGGGCTTGGGGCTTAGGGCTTAGGGTTTAGGGGTCTACAAGGGACCATACCAGCATTTACATGGGAAAGGACGACTGGACCTTGCGGCGTCGCACCGGTGGTGCTGGAACCCGGAGCAGCAAAGCAAAACGTGCAGATGCACTGGCAACTGCAAGCTGTACATTCAACACCCGCCAGGCAAGCACAAACTCTAAAGCCTAAACTCCTCTAAACTCTAAACCCTAAACTCTAAACCCTAAACCCTCTAAACCCTCTAAACCCTATAAACCCTATAAACCCTATAAACCCTATAAACCCTATAAACCCTATAAACCCTATCAACCCTATAAACCCTATAAACCCTATAAACCCTATAAACCCTATAAACCCTATAAACCCTATAAACCCTAAACCCTAAACCCTAAACCCTAAACCCTAACCCTAAACCCTAAACCCTAAAGTTCCACAACTTCATACCCCGAACCTTTAAGTCCTTACGGCTGGCATGTGCAGAAGGGCTCAGGAGCCAGGCAAGGCATGACTCGGCGAGCTTCCCCTATGACTCCATGTATCTATACAGTATAGGGCCGGGGTTTAGGGTTTAGGGTTTAGGGTTTAGGGTTTAGGGTTTAGGGTCCAGGGTTGGCCATCCTACACGCGAACGGGTCGTACGAAACTTTCTGACTTGGGCTGTACATACA